CTCCCTTCTTCCAGTCTCCCCCTCCTCCGTCTCTTCGTTCCTCCCTCCTCCTCCTCCTCCTCTCTCTTACCTACACCACCTCCACCCACCACAGTTGGTCAGCAGCCGATAAAAGTGCTCCCACTAAAGCGATGGGAGAAAATTCACACCACTGCATGATTCACTGCCTTCCTTCATTTGACACTGGTGTGTATTGCCCAACTCCACACTTACAACCCTCAACACCACACTCCCACTCCCCATACACCTTGGCGTATGACCGTCTCCTCATACTTCCCCTGACTTCTAGGCAAGTCCCACGTGCACGCACACGCACGCCACTGCATTGTGTCTGCCGAGCTGATGGGCAAGCCATGCATGCATGCATGCAAGTGGGGCTGTTGTGAGAGGTGAGGTGTGCACGAAGTGGCGTACGCTGTGCGCTGACATGCGCACCACTCACTCAGTGCGTGAGAGGCATTAACGAGTGAAGACAACCTGCCTCACTCACTCACTCACTCACCAAATGGTGGCGGAGTTGGGAACGAGAAGACACCAACCAGTGACAGCACCAGCATCAACACGAACACCAACTCACTACTCACCTGTGTGTAGACCAATGGAACACAGACTTTGTCCATGAGGAAGAGCTTCAGCAACGACTCACGAAAGCCATTGATCACCTGCAATGCACAATCGACAACAATCAAGCAATGCAAAACACGACAATACTGACACCAAAGACCCACTAGTGATGCAGCACACCATCGTCTCCACTCTCACCCGCCCTCCTCCTCCTCCTCCTCCTCACCCCTTCACCACCACCACCACCACCCCCACCGCCACCACCACTAGCGTCATCAGTGTGATCAGTGCTGCCTCATTACCATTCCATTCAAGAAGAACCCACCCCACTCCTAACCCCAACTACCTTCGTCAGACGACGTCTACTTTCTATCTCACCAGCCTGCTTGCGAGTGCACGGTGCACTTCCCTCATTCCCTTCCTCTCAGCCTAGTGGCTTCTCACCATCCACTGCCGCGTTCATGCTACGCCTCACTTCAAACGACACCACTCATTTCATCAGCACAATCATCACCACCATCATCATTATAATGATTTTCATCCCATCCTCATTCCACCACTTCTCTATTTTCCCTCCCCTCCCCCTCACCCATGTCTCCCTCCAATCCTCCTTCCCATGTTTACCCACTTCTGTCACTTCTGAGGACCCCATCAACTGTATTCACCTTCGCCCTCCGCCTCACTCCTTCTCCTCCTCCTCCCCCTCCTCCTCCCCAATTCTTACTCGCCACTGTCGTGGCAGGTTGTCACCTGGTGGTTGCAGACGGTGGGGCAGCACAGCACACTTCATTTTGGTGGTGAAGTGGAGTTGAGGAGTTCAGTTATCACGACTACCTGAATTAGATTGACGAGAGCGTGGGGATTGCGGATGTAGCCGTCCTTTTCAGCACGCATGGAGATTGCGGTGGCCCACACCAGAGGGAGGAAGGGTTGAGCCGCAACAGGATCAGTTAAGTCGATCAGATCACCCTCGCGTTGAGTCAAGATACCTAGAATGGAAGAATGATTCTCTGCCTTTTATCACGATGTACTATTTGCATCTTCTTTCTCTCATATCTCTAAAACTAATCATCAATACCTCCTTTATAAAAGTAGCATTACTAATAACCGTGCTTGCACAAAACCTAATAGCTTCGATAGTAAACTCGACAGCTGCAGTGTCGCAGGTGGTAATAGCGAACGCCGAAAATCGTTGTGGACTGACAGCTAACTCCATTCAACCGCTTCTCTACACGTGAACGTTGTGTCTCATAGGGCCTCATTCCTGTTATTACAACGCAAGTGTTACCGCTTTCAACACTTTATCCTCTGTGTAGCATGTAACTCCAATCTTCTACGTCTCGTCAAAACACAACAGTTAGTGTGCACACAGCGCACACCACTTTTCATATGTCAACGCCAATGTTAGTCAAATAAGGTCTTTTAAGCATTAAAAAGGCCTACTCGATTCGGCTGAGCTGTTGTTGTCATGCCTGAAATGATTTGCGCTGGATGAGTGCGCTGACGACAATTTCTAGCGAGTTGTGCTTCTTCTGAGGTTTTAACCAAGCTCATCCCCTTACTTAATTCAGGCTAGCTATCCATCCATCTCTAACTCACCTATCACTATTTTTTTCACTTTTCTGTTACACCCATTATTCTTTGATTGACTCCATATTTTGTTAAGGATTCGACTGTTTATGCATTGTTTTGAATTTGTAGCCATCCTTTGTTTACTTGTCATTCGTGCACATCACTTACTCTCTTCTCACATCCTTTTCAACTGTAATGTTTTTAAATGCAATTGTGATGCCGTTCAAAATATCAAGTCTTCTACCAACAACTCACTCCACATTTACGTATCAAGTGGCTTCGGTGATGAGTAATTTTCAATTCAGTCTATCTCCAACTTTAATGTTCACTTTGGCGAGATCAGTTGATTCTCCAACCTTTACATCACATCGTCTTCAACTTGTTAGTCAGCATATTTTCATCCGACTGATCGACTCAAATTTTTGGCCATTTCCCTTAAATTGTTAGTCACATCATTGCACCTTAATTATCACTTTCAGTTCATGTTTAAATCCCATAAACGTTCTCCAGGCATTCGATTAATTCGTTTTATTCACTTATTTAATTTGGCATGCATCCATTGCCCTCTCACCTCATCGGCGCTACCCATAAGCTCTAGATTGCCCATCAATTCTAACTAATTCCGTCTTTAAAGGAGAAACTGCGCTTGTTTTATACTAGAGCAAAGTTGGGGCCTTTATGCTTAACTTTGATATCATACTGACTCAAAAATATAAATCCTACTTTCAATAAACTCATCTGCTCAGTAATTTAGTAGAAAAGACAATAGCTTTACTATCGTAAGGCCATGCGTTCTGACTCAGATGACAGTAGTTTGAGCTTTTGGTGCTTAAAATATTAGCTGATGCCTCACTTTCGTGAGAAGCGACAGTTTTACCTGCTTAAATGTGTTGCGTGACTAAAAAATTGCCTGACCTTCTAGCGCTACAAGTTAGCACAGACATTAAATCTATTTAGCTTTGTTACAAGCACTGGTGTTTGGGGCGTGTGAAGTTACCTCCATGGAGATTCACCATTTTGCTCTCTTTGGGCTGGAAATAGAGAAAATGTAATGCCATCCAAAAAATAATCCTAGTAAAGTGTGTAACAGTAGGGCCTCATCTTACATAGGCAATTCTTAAAAGTCAAGAAAAATACTTACTTTGATTACAGACTGATTCCCGATGTTTTGAAGGTTGATAAATACTTCTCTGCATAGGTAATTAAGGGTATCACTTATGTGCCAACTTTAGGCTCAAAAGTTCCTGATTTGCATCAAATTACAAATGGTATTTACAGTTAAATAGAATATAAACCTTTTTTGAGTTCCACACCCAAAGTTGTAACGTAGGATATGCAACCATTGCATAACGGAAATGGAACTCGTGGAACATGGTATTCCCACTTTTCCTGGCCGAATCCCACACCCATTTTCATTTTCTTACAATTAATCCATTTAAATCTTCACGGAGGATAGAATGACCAGCGAAAACCAAAATAAGCCCTAATCAATTGCCAGCAGGCTTAAATTGTGCGGTATTGTATGAAGGGCGTTCCACGATTCACCTAACTTCATTTTTATAAGACTTCGACATCACTTAAGTACCTTTCCTAGAAAAATTTAAACTAATTTGTCATAAGACATTAAAATTGATTATTTTTAAGATGACTTCCCCAACAGCAATGCTTAAATCAAGTTAAAGTGAATAAAGGTTACCTTATGCTGTGCTTTATATTCAGCACCAGCTCCTGATGCACTTTTAAAGAGGCAACTGTAATGTTTTCTTCATATGACTATCTGATGTTAGGCAATCACTTTAGTAGCTGTCTGGCCCTTGTACTGGTGGGCAGGCCTTCAGGTTATGCTCATAGCCATTCGCTCTGTTCCCTTCGGGATACATGTACCCAGCCTCTTTTACTGCCTTCTTCCACCCTATAGGAAGTCTCGGGACGCTACAGCAACCACTGACATCACAAATGCGCATTTCAATTTCGACCTGCTGAATTTGATAAATAGCTTGAATCAGGTTTCTTTTTTTCCTGTGAATATAAACTTTTTCAAATTTTCTGACACATTATGTAGTCAAAAGAATTGAAGGTATTTCTCAAGGTAACTTTATAGTTCAATATTTTTGGGATTCTGTATCGCGAGTTAAATAACCAAAAGCGTTGCCAGAACAGAAAATGACAAAGCACATTTCCTCACTTACATCCTACTTTTAGCATTTTAAAGTAAAGTAAAGGAGGATTTGCTGCCAGACCTTCAAATGGCCATAATGTTGTAAGTTAAGAGTGGAATGATGAAAGGTGGCTAAGTAGCTATCTATTAGACCAGATTTTTCTGCAAAAAATGTGCGACTTTTATGGAGAGGGTCAAAACAGAACCGCCTTCTTTATGCGAATGTGTGATACGAAGCATCAAATATCGATGCATCCGTGATGCGAAGAATGAACTGCTGATTAAAGAATGAAAAAATGAACGGAGGGATGCATAAGTGGTCATTCCAAGACAGCGTGCACCAGAAACAAATGTTATGAAGGATGGAAGAATTAGTGGGTAAAACTGATAGGTGTTTGAAAAGAAAATAAGTAATAAAAGGACAGGCAAAATGGTGTAGGCGCCAACATCAAAATGATAAAGGGAAAAGCTGAAGGATCAAACTTAGCATAGGATTGGATAACATCCTTGGGTGTTAGTTAAAAAATTGAAACAAAGTTTAATGCTCCGTATGAAGTGAATAAGCTCTACCACCACAACAAATATCCACAAAGATTGTGCTCTTTATTGGCACTTCGAAAATCGGTACTAACATCTAGAAAGCCCTGGTAAGACGTCTAAGGTCAGATTGACACGCCGAAGGGGAGGTATTTTGACAATGATGCCACTTGTGCAAGGAAAGAGGCAAAACATAAGCGGTTTTACTATTTTAATACATGAGGAAAATACTGACGTTAGCCACTTTTAGTCCCATTGCCCCTCGAAGGACAACCGAGGTAGAATTGGGACAAACACTTTCAAATTTTAGAAATAAATGTGGATGCACAGTAATTTGGATTAACAGACTAAGAATAATTTTTCGACGTGAAGTTAATATGATTGACTCAATGGATTCAGTTGCGGCTCAACCCTTCCTCCCTCTGGTGTGGGCAACCGCAATCTCCATGCGTGCTGAAAAGGACGGCTACATCCGCAATCCTCACGCTCTCGTCAATCTAATTCAGGTAGTCGTGATAACTGAACTCCTCAACTCCACTTCACCACCAAAATGAAGCGTGCTGTGCTGCCCCACCGTCTGCAACCACCAGGTGACACCCTGCCACGACAGTGGTGATTAAGAATTGGGGAGGAGGAGGAGGTGGAATGGGTGGATGAGTGAGGCGGAGGGTGAAGGTGAATACAGTTGATGGGGTCCTCAGAAGTGTCAGAAGTGGGTAAACATGGGAAGGAGGATTGAAGGGAGGCATGGGTGAGGTGGGGGGG